TTTTTTTTTTTTCTTTCTCACCATAGTTACATTCACAATGTTTATAACTTCCCCTTTTTCTTTCCTTCTCTCTTTCTTTCTTTTCTTCTTTTTTTTAACTCTAATTTAAATGCGCTTAAGAGCCGCACGTTTTTTATCCACTGCCTTTTTGGAGTTCACTGCGAGAGTTGAATTTCCATTATCGGCATTTCTCAAATTTAATGCGGAATCCGGTGCATTGCGGAGTTGTTGAACCCCAACTCCATTCTCTGCGGCCGCGGCATCCACAACTCCTGAGTGAAATACGACAGTTGAGAGATCTTCTTTATTTATTAATTGTTGTTGTTGTTGTTGGGATGATGTATTGTAGAGATCTACACCTAATGCATGTGAAGGATCTCCTCCTCCTCTTCCTCCTTGTTGTTGTATTGATTGTATTGATTGTTGTTGTGGTCTTATTCCTCTCATGGCATGTACTTTTGTCATCATTTCTGCCTTTCGTCTGAAGGCATCGTAATCTTCTAACAACAATCGAGCGGCCTCTTCATTGAGTGCACTTTCGGCATTCGGCTCAATCAACAAACAGCGAATAACTGTAATCACATGGCGTAGTCCCAGACCAGGATCCCAATCTCTCTTTAACACATTTACACAAATATCACCTTTTTCAGAAACGTTGGGGTGAAATATTTTTGTGCGGAATAAACCTCGTGGGGGAACAGACGGGTATCCCTCATCAAAGTACAACACAACGTGAAAGAGACCACCGGCGAAAGGGGTTTCTTCTGGTCCGGTGAGATTTACATGCAATTCACTGAGTGTATCGGTAGTACTACTACTACTATTATTATTACTATTGCCGGTGTTATCATCATTGTGTATGATTTGTACACCAGGGACTGGTTTGGTTGCGATCTCGTGCACCTGCCGCATAATAAGGCGCATCGCACTGGCAGATATCGGCATCGTTTATTTATATTTATTTATAATTTATTTGTTCTTGTTTGTAATAAATATAAACAAGTAGAGTAATTGAATGAATTCGAAAAGAATTCCAAAAGATTGATGATATAATGTAGAAGAGTCCGGAAGAGGAAACAAGAAAGATATCTCTATTTATGTGTTCTTTTTTTTTCTTTTCTTTGTTTGCTTATTCGTTTGATCTGTGTATCTTTCTATTCCCTCTTTTTTCTCTCTTTCTATGTATACACGCCTGTGTCTTCCTCCTCCCTGAACTCTAATTAAATCAACCTAATTTCTTCCTTTCACCTCTTTGCCTTTTTATTACTCCTTTTTCTTTTATTGTGTGAGTGTGTGTGTTTTTTTTTTCTTTTTTAATATTCGCCCTCTAGCCTTCTCTTTTAAATGCTATTCCCCTATGTGGAAAGATAAATACAACCAAGAAAAAAATGAAAAGAAGAGATTATTCGTTTATTGATTTTTTTTTTTTTTAACAATTTAAACTCCCTTTTATTTCTGCAGATAAACATCATTCTAATACTTTTCTTTCTTTATATATATATATTGGTTCCAAAAAAAAAAAAAAAACACATATAATCATCACTGGCACTAGCACTAGTAGCAGGAGCTGCAGAAAATCAAAAAAAAAAGAATTAAAGTCTAATCACAATAGTTCATTTACAAGAACATCAGTACGTTAAAGTAGAACTATTGAAAATCTCTTACAATTGTTGAGATACTCCATTAGACTCCTTTTTTATTTCTTTTTTATTTATTTATTTCTTTTGGTCTCTCTGTCTACTGGAATCCACCAATTTTTTGTTGTTGTTTTGTTATTTCCTTCTTGTTTACATAATGATCAAAACATCACACCAGAACATATATATATATATATATATATATATATATATATATATAAGTGATGGTAACAAGGCGAGAATCCCAATATTCTTCTTCTTCGTGTTTCATCACAATAGGATAACAGACACACAGAAACAGAAATATACAGATACAGATATATATAGAGAGAGAAGTACAGAGAGCAAAGAAAGAAAAAAAAAAAGGAAAAATCAATCTCTTATGATTTAATATATATATATATATATATACTTTCTTTTTTTTT